CCTGCATGTCAGCTGCTGTCACCTTGCTTGCCCTTTCAGTTCTTCCCCTTCCAACCTGGCTTATACCTATTCATGCCTACTGCCCATGAAACTTAGTGGAAATGGCTTTTTAAAAAACTTCTATGTGGATGTGCTGAAACGTTCCTGTTTTAAGGCCTGACTTCGGTATGGAAATATGGAGAATGACATCCTTTACTACTCAAGAACAAAGGTGTCATCTGAGCCTCAGACTTGTAAGACTGCTTGAGTGCAATGTCTTAGTCTGTTCCTTCTGGGCAGTTTAGTGTGTGACCTCTGACCTGAAGTATGTACAGAGGAAACCTAACCACACTACCCACGCTACTTACCCCTTTTCCTCCTAGACAGGACAGAGCAAATGTCAAGTTTGAACTGTGAAGGGTCTGAGATCTTGCTGCACTTGAAAGCTTAACCTGCCCTAATGTCTGAGGTGTTTCCTTTCATGTATGTGTGTGCGTGTATGATGTCTATATTATGCAGATATAAATTTACATCAGGGTCACTTCCTCCCAGGACAATACCATGAAGGCCTGATGTCACTTGCTTATGTGGTTATGTGGTGGTGTTGGCAGCGTTGGAGAGGGAACCTGATATTAAAGAAACTTAGAGTTTATACAAGAATTGATGGGATATCTTTCCATCTCACTCTTTGCAGACAGGAAGAAAGAAATATTTTGCTCTGGAATGTAAAGAAATTCTGTGGAGAGGAGGAGAAGGTTTCTATTTTGCCATGTTGGAATGTAAACGATTGCCTTCAGGGAGGGAAAACTCTGGGGTTTTCTATCTTTGTGTTTGGTACTATGGCCTCAATGTCTGTTTCCCCTGAATTCATGTGCTGAAAGTCTAACTTCTCAAGGTATGGTATCAAATATAGGAACTTGGGAGGTGATTAGGTTCATGAATGGTATTGGCACACTTACAAATGAAGTCGCAGAGGGCTTATTTGACCTCTGTGAGGACACAGTAAGAAACTGCTATCTATTGACAGAAAGCAGACCCTCACCAGATATTCAATCTGTCAGCATCTAGATCTTGGACTTCCTAGCCTCCAGAAATGTGAGAAATACATTTCTGTTGCTCACAAGCTACCTAGTCTATGCTGTTTTCTTGATATTCAATCATACTTTAATCCAGGTGCCAGTGCTCTGTGTTCAGAAAGCCCTGACATGAAGAAACATGGAACATTGTGGAACATTATCTCCCAATACCATGACTCTTCCTTTTTATGGGGTTGGGGATGTATTACAGTAATAGAGTGCTTGCCTGAGGTATGCATGAGGCTCTGGGTTTGATCCCCAGCATTGAAAATAATTTAAAAGAGAAGAAAAGAAAAAGAAAAAAAAGGAAAACTTCCAAGTGTATCAACTGACGCAAGTAGACACTGGGTAAAGTAAAGGAGTGAGGAAAAGAGTAAAGACAGAATAAAGGTATTTTATGTATGAAATTTAGCCATTTCTAAATGACTGTCATAGTAATCTAATACTGTTATAAATTAGACACATGTCAGTGTGAACTCTCCCTCTCTATGGAGAATATAGAGATAATTCTTATTTCCCTCCTTTCCTTCCCTCCCTCCTTCCCTTTCTTTTCTTCCTTCCCTCCTTTCTTTCTTCCTTTATAAAACAGATATTTACTGAATATTGATTATGTGAGAAACACTGTGCTAAGTGTAGGAAAAATAATGTCTAGCAAAATAGACATAGTCTTGGAGCCTAAAGTTTAGAATAGTAGAGGCAATTTGTAAATAAATCACCATTATAAATGGATTAATTACAGTTGTATAAATTCTGTGAAGGAAAAACCCATGGTACTATTAAGAGTATATAACAAGGGAAACATACGTCATCTGAAAGTGTTTTGAAGTTGTGAGACTTAGCAAATAAAAATATAGGACACCAGTTAAATTTGAATGTCAGGTAGACAATGAAGAGTTTCATAAGTATTTCTCTTGTAATATTTGAGCTATAATTAAACTGAAAGGTTAATCATTACTTATGAGGAATTCAAATTTAACTGGATTCCTACATTTTACCTAGCAATCCTTTGTGGGGAAAGGGAAAGGAGTAAAGAAGGCCACTTTTAGGAAGTGACATCTGATCGGGGACTTAATAGGTAAGTTAGTACTATCCAGAGTCAAAGATGTGGTGTGGAAAGAGGGCCAGGGTAGACCATATACATAAAAGGAATGCATGTATGTCTAAGTGAAAAGAATCTGCTATCTTTAGTTATTGTGGCCAAAGTGGAAAGAATGAAGGGGTAAACGATATTCATAGATACCAGAATGATCAGAATTCAGGAGCCTAGTTTGAGGATATTAGAGGTTAAAGGGATTAAGGATGGGAATTAGAACCGAGCTTTGTCCTGGGGCCATGGTAACTTCCCCACTGGCTGTAGACAAGTCAATTCACTTCTCTGGGTCTCATAGGCCAAACTGATGTTAAAATGGTAACAAATGAGATAATAGAATACAGATTCTGAAGAGTTCACTCGGAAAATTCAAAATCATCTAATATAAAACTGAAGCTTAGGCAAGGTATTGGCCTGAAAAGGTAAAAGGTTGGAGTCAATGTTTTGGATTCATAATCTCACTCTCTCACTTGCTTACTGTTGGGTCTTAGGTAATCAAGTCAAATCCTCTCTGCAAAGTGGAACTCCTATACAAGGTTGGTGTGAGTGTAAATTAGTATAGCCACTGTAAAAAACTAAAAAATGGACTACAAAATGCTCCAGCAATCCTCCTATAATCTTTAGATGTAGAGACACCTTCATTCTCATACTTATGCAGCATTTTTATCAATAGTCAAGATATGAAATGGACCAAGGTGTCCACTGATGGATAAAGGGATAAGGAAAATATGGGGATGTGTGTACAATGGACCATTACTCATCCAGGAATGAAATCCTGTCCTTTTTGGTAACAAGGATGGAATTGGAGGACATTATGCTAAGTGAAAGAAGGCAGGCACAGAAAGATAAATATCATAGGCTGTCACTCTTTGTGGAAACTAGAAAGTTTGATTTAATAGAAAAGAATAGAATAGTGGTCTCTAGAGACTAGGAAAGGGGGAGGAGATGGGGCATGGAAAGAGGTTAGATAACAGTTACCAAAATACAGTTAAAGAGATAGATTATTTATATTATAGCACAATAGGGTAACTATAGTATACAATTTATTATGTATTTCAATATAAATAGAAGAGTCTGTCAGGACCCAGCACATAGAAATGATAAATGTTCAAGGAGAGGGAAATGCTAGTTTCTGTGATTTGGTCATTATGTTTTGTATACATGTATGAACATTTCACAAATGTCAAAAATAAAAGCAGTTGATAGTATAGCTTAAGTACATAAAATTTCCATTTGTCTATTATGCCTTTATAAAGCTGAACAAAATTAATGAAACAAAAACAAAACAAACACTCTGATGGTCCACATCTCTCCCATGTAGGACCATATGAACACCATCTTCCTTTCTAAATTGTTGTTAGGTTTTGCTAAAATGAACAGCATCTTGACAGTGAGCTAGGTAGACAGTGGGTGTTCATCGACTGATTTGCTAATGTAGATGGGTTTTCTGTTTATTATCATAAAGACTTCTAGAAACCTTTGGTTGGAGAATAGAAGGTGAAGGAAAGGGAAGCAATTTTTTTCCCCTGGGCACATATTGTGTATGCCATAGTTTTTGCCTATGGATTTTTTGCCCATTGAATCTGTCACTTCTGAAGTTTCAAGGAAGACATGGATTTGAAACAACAGATGCCCTGAGCTCCTCAAACTATCTGATGTCAAAAGTTCAAAGGTTGCAGGAGGCAAAAGAAAAAGAGACTGTGAGCTTTAAAGTTCCCACAGTCTACAGTTAACCTTGTTAGCAGGGCCATCTAGAGATAATTTGATTCAAATACATTCTATTAATTAATTAAGAAAACATTTATAAATACCTTTCATGAAGCTCTCAAGCAGTTTATAATCCAGTTGAGAGAGGACAGAGAGGTAAAAAGACATATTCAGAGGCTACATGTTTATTGACTTCCCAGAGGAGTGGGCTTTATTGGCTGGAATTTCATACCAGCTAAGGGAGAAGTCTATGGTGGGACCTTGGGGCATCTAAACACTCAATGAGGCTGTCCTTGGGCTCAGACAGGTTACTGGCTAACCCCTTGACCTTTTTCATGCTCAGAATATATAGCTAGTTGGACCTAGAGCTAATTCATTATCTGATTTCTCAGTTCTCTTAAGCATACTGAGAACAAATGGTAGGTATTTGCTGTGGTAGGTTAGTACTTGACAAATGGTTAAATTCAGTTATTTATCTTATGGCTTAGTGCCAGGTAGATGGCAAAATATTTGCTAAAATCTTTCATATGTTGAAAAGCATAAGAAGTATGTGGTCATTGTTAGTTTTCTCAGCAAAGATGGATGTGCAGGAATCCAGCCATAGCTAAGTCTAGTATATGCTTTGCAAAGCAAATGGCCATATTAGGTGAGAAGTTGGTGGCTGAGAATAGACAGGCTAATACTCTAACAAAGGTGACACTGTGATTCTAATTCCTCAGGAGAGGCTAAAATACAGAACCCAGAGGAGCCCATCATCAGCATTTAAAATGTGAGGTCCTATGAAATGTTTAGTTTAAATTTACCATAGTTGAATGCCTCTGAGGGCTTTCCCCCACTCTTCTCACTTGGAAGAAAGAAGAAGCTTAAGAAAACAATCTAGTCTAAAGGATTAACTTTTGAAAGGTCAAGGTCCCACACTTAAAGCTGTGGTTTGGGGCAAAGGAAACTGTGGTTTCTGAGGATGTCCCTGAGGCACCAAACTTAAAAAATCATCAAAGAAAGATTCCATTGTGTTTGGAAAGGCTGCTTTTCCTCATAAGAAAGGGAGGGGCACGTTTTAGAGTTATTGCCAACTGCAACAGTTGGAATGAAAATATCAGTGACTCCTAGTTGCAATGTTCTATTGACTTCTATCTCAACAGTGGTCACAGATTCCAGGTGCCAGCTGCTAAGGGCAATTTTTCCCTGCTTTCCAGGAGGCTCCAGATAAAGGAAAGGAAAGGACAAGTGGTAATGGAAATGTACAGCACTCAAATGCTCAAATAGGGGAAGGTGTGTGCCATTTATATACAGGTCTATTTTTTTTCAATTGAACCCTACAGTTGTTTCTGTTAATACTCATTGGGGCTCTTTCTCTTTCTTTTTTTCATATCTATATTGGTAAATTTTGTATAAATGTGTGGGACTTTCAGAGATGTTCATCTCAAACTCTGCTCTTTGGCCAGTTCAAAAAGTGAAATGAATTCTGGCCTGTTTTCTCTGGTTTATGATAAGCCATTGCAACTCTAAGAGCACTGTCTTAATAAAAAGAACATAGCTCACAATTAGGAAGACTATCAACAATACCTTAGAGACGAGTTTTTATAAGATATATATTACATGTTATGTGTATGTGTAGGGTGCTGGGCTTTTAGAATGCTAGGGAGTGCTCTACCTCTAAACTACATGCCCAGTCCTTTGTATTTTATTTTGAGACAGGGTTTGGCTAAATAGCTCAAGTTAACCTTAACCTTGTAGTCCTCCTGCCTCTGTCTCCCAAGTTCCTGGAATTACAGGTGTGCACGGTTATGCCTGGTTGAATATTACATTTTTAAATACACTTTCATTTTTGAATTAGAATTTACTGTAAAATAGATTCACAATGGATATAAGAAAGTGCTAGTAATGCAAGCTACATCTTTAGAGAAATTAAGAAATTTAAGATTTGTTGTGACTCTACATCGTGTACAACCAGAGAAATTAAAAGTAGTGCTCCATTTATGTACAATGAATTGAAATGCATTCTGCTATCATGTATAGCTAATTAGAATAAATTAAAAAAAGAAATTTAAGATTTGGAATTTGAATAGGAATACATGCAGTACTCTGCTGAAACTATTTAGGATAATTCTTCTTTCCCTTGGTCTACTAGAAGTATACAATTGTTTTGAAAAGGTTAAAGTTTAGGCCACGGATATTTTAAGTGTTATTTAACATGTTTGTCTCCTCCAAACAGATATATTTTGAAGGCAGTTTCTTTTTCTAATTTATTTGTTATCTATAGTGTCTAACACAGTGCTTTAGACACAACAACTGGCAAATAAATGGCTTCTGATTGCTACTGTAGACATGGTGCTCTTCATGGAGAAGTGTTTCTTTTTTTCTTTTAACTCCAAGGGTATTTGTAGGATAGATACAATAATCTGTGTCTGCGAGAGAGAGAAATAGAGGGTGGGAGGGAGAGAAAGAAGAGAGAGGGAGTGGGGGGAGAGAAAGATTGAGAGATTGAGACTGAAGGGGAGATTTTGACTGTAGGCTAGATATGCTAAATACCCTACCAATGTGGAAGACTCCTGATCAGTTTTCTTATGCATTAAGTGATTACAGTCAGCTTTCTGTATTCTGGTGAGTGTATTCAATCAACCACAATCAAACCCCCAAAATGTTACGTCTGTACAAATATTTACAGGTTTACATGTGCAAGCAGCCCTGCTCTGCTATGTGCTCCTCACCATAAGCCCATAGTGGTGTGAAAACCAACCAGGGACTGAAACCTCCGAAACTGTGAGTCAAAAATAAATCTCTCCTCTTTAACAAAAAACGTACAGGCTTTTCCCCCTTGTCATTATTTCCTAAATGATATAGCACAAGTGTCTACATAGCATTTGCATTGCATTGGGTTTGATAAGTGATCTTGAGATCATTTAAAGTATTTGGGAGTATGTACATAGGTTACATGTAAATACTATGCCATTTTATATAAGAAATTTGAGTATTTTAACATCTGTTGGGGTCATGCAACCAGTTCCCTGAGGATACTGAGAGATAAAAATAGTCTTTAACATACTATGACCCTAGATGCTGCTAGGGGATCTATTCTGGTGTATCAAAAACTCTGGATATCATTGTTACCACACATGGGATTAAAAATAGGTCAGTTATATTAGAAGTCTATTTTTTTAGTCCAACACTTTTGAAAACCCTCAAGCAATTAATGCACTTTTACTAGCCATCCCCTATCTATTTATCTAGGAAATTTATCCTAGAAAAATAGCAAGTACAATTATTATGGGGAAAATATGTATATTTTTTCTTGGTAACAGAGTAACTAACTTGTCCTGATTTGCTAGAAGCTTTCCCGTTTTTAGCATTTTAATTGTCTCAGTGTCAAGCAAGTACTGACTCACCTGCTGTTGACCTCCCTACAACACAAGCCTCCCTTTTGCTGGATAATTCTTTTGAGATGCTGCTTGGAAATATGGGAATGGACATCAAATTGCCTTCTAAGGGTTTGGTTAACTTCAAAAGTTATCTTTTCAGAATGAGCAATATAAGTTAGGGAAAGAGATAAATTTCTTGGGGAATTAGAGATTAAAAAAGTCTAAACTGGGAAGAATTTAAAGAAAGGAACAGAGTCACAGGCTTGTGGCTAAGGAAGATGTCAAAGAACTTAAGAAGAAGAGTGTCTAAGGACTTAAGTAGTGATGTTTATAAAGTTGTTTGCTGTTGCAGTGTATTAAAGATAGTTTCTTTTTCTTCTTCCCATACTATCTCCTGGCTAATATTTAAAATTTGACTGATAGGTTAAATAGAAGATTAGACACAGGAAAATAGAGAGTGAGTCAACAGGAATATAAATTTCTGGTCCTCTCACCTCACTTCCAAAATATCTTAAACTGCAGTGTAGTAAGAAAAGCAGAAAATATAAAAAAGAGAATTTTATATCATATGTAACTGACATCCATTTGTATTAGGATTTTTTTTAAAGGAAGAAAACCCACTATAAATCAGTAAAAAATCATATAAAATAATGGAAATATGAACAGAAAAAATAAGAATGGGCAAATCCCACAAAAAGAAATATGAATGACAAGTAGACATGAAACTAAACATCAAACTAAAAAGCTTCTTCTCAGCAAAGAAACAATCAGTGAGGTGAATAGAGAACCTACTAATTGGGAACAAATACCACATGCACATCAGATACAGCACTAATCTCTAGGATATATAAAAAACTCAAAAATCTTAACACCAAAAATAAAAAACAACCCAATCAATAAATGGGCCAAGGAACTGAACAGACACTTCTCAGAAGAAGATATTCAATTAATATACAATTAACCAACAAATATATGAAAAAATGTTCAACATCTCTAGCAATTAGAGAAATGCAAATAAAAAATACCCTAAGATTTCATCTCACTTCAGTCAGAATGGCAGGATTAAGAATACAAACAACAATAAGTGTTGATTAGGATGTGGATGTGGGGGGAAAAGGCATACTCGTACATTGTTGGTGGGACTGCAAATCGGTGCAGCCAATATGGAAAGCAGTATGGAGAATCCTTGAAAAACTGGGAATTTGATCCAGTTAAGGTCTATACCCAAGGACTTAAAAACAGCATACTATAGGGACACAGTCACATTAATGTTTATAGTAACACAATTCACATAGCTAAACTGTGAAACCAATCTAGATGCACTTCAGTAGATGAATGGATAAAGAAAATGTGGTATATATACACAGTGAAATATTATTCAGCATTAAAAGAGAATAAAATCATGGCATTTGCAGGTAAATGGATGGAGCTGGAGAATATAATGCTAAATGAAATTAGCCAATCCCCCAAAAAAACAAATGCCAAATGATTTCTCTGATTTAAGGATGCTGATCCATAATATACTTCAGGATGAGGGGATGGGAGGATTAAATGAACTTTAGATAGGGCAAATGGGAAAAGAGGAGGGAGGGGAAGGTAGGGAACATAGGGGTAGGAAAAATGGTGGAATGTGACGGTCATCATTACCCTAAGTTCATGTATGAAGACACGAAGGATGTGACTCTACTTTGTGTACAACCAGAGATATGAAAAATTGTGCTCCATATGTGTAATATGAATTGTAATGCATCCTGTTGTCATATATAACAAATTAAAATTTAAAAAAAGAAAATAAAATTTGCCAGTGAAGAACAACAACAACAAAAAAAGAAGTTCAATTTCATGAAGATATTGTAAATACAAATTGAAGTCATTTTTATATAGAGATACCACTTCATACCCAAAAGATGTCTTGTTTATTGATTGATTGATTGATTGATTTTTTTACAACATCTAGCTATACCAAAGATAGAGGTCAATGGACCTTACATTCTAATGGTGGAAATGTAGATCATTTAACCACTATAGAGAACAATTCAACAGCATATGTCACTGGATATAATATGGCCTAGAAAATCCTCTCCTAGGTATATTCTAAAGATACCTAGCATTTTGCAAAAATTTACATTGCAGCATTATTTTTAATAGTGAAAAAACTGGAAAGCATTATCTTATTTATTGTTGAGTTAAAACACTTATGATGATGTTTTGCTTCTCCAGGAGAGGGACACTAACTAGTGCATATTCTCCTCTTCACAGGAAGTGCAGTAAATTATTAGAGAGTTTGACATTGGAAATGAAACTGCCTAGTGTGGCTCCTTTCTCTTCTTTTTTTCTGGGTACTTTGCTACCATGCAAGAAGTACACATAGTGCTCTCTGCTCCTTTCTGGAAATTTGACTGGGCTAACATTGCCTTGTTGGTATGGGGAGGACTACAATAGGTGACTTCAACCTGTGACTTAGCCTGTAGGATACAGCTTTAGGAAAGCTATTTGCCCATAGATATAAGACAATTTTTCAAGTTTTTACCAGTAAAAAGGTGATATTTTAATTTCTATTTTTCTTTATCTTTTCTCTCTTTTTTTAAGTCAGTTGGTCCAGATGGATACTATTTATGAACCATTTGACTACCAACATTGAAAAACAAGCAATAATTATATAATCTGGGGAAGAAAAGAGCATATGGAATAAAGAGGCTTTAAGTGTGTGCAGGACAGGAAATGTCTCAGCTTTGGGGATATTTGCTAGGCTATGGCTGGGGGATTTTTACCATAGTGGTTTCCTTCAGCTAAAAGTGACTTTGCTTACATGTGTATGACTGATTTCCAAAAGGTAATACATTGCACTTGAGGCCTTGAGCAAGCACCACCCAGCCCTGTCTTTCATTTAGCAAGACTAACTTCTCAGCATGCTATAAGCCTCAGCATCTCACCCGACCTCTATTCTCTCTTTTCAGTGGCTAGAATGCAAGAACAATAGCTTCAACTATGAGCTCCCCTGTGATGATGATTAAGCAACAAGAGAAGAAAGGGTAAGCATTTAATTTGGATAATATACATGAAGCAGCAGTCGATATTTATGAGGTCTTAAATAAGCTATCCATTGGTGACATCATTCTGTTCCTACAAGTTCTCTGCCCAGAAAACGCAGTTAAAATCCATAGTTGCTTATGAGGCTAATTGCCACTGGGCCTCTTCAATAAAGCAAGAATTTATGTTGGTTAACTTGTAACTGTGGACTCCATAGCCTCAAAATTCAACTCTAGTCCTCACAACCACAGCCCCAGTAGGAGAAGGCTGATGCAGGAGAGAGAGAGAGAGAGAGAGAGAGAGAGAGAGAGAGAGAGAGAGAGAGAGAGAGAGAGAGAACATTCTTTATCTTTTGTGGGCCTTCTTTTTGAAGGCGGGGTAAGTACTGGAGATTGACCCCCAGGGATTCTTAACTGAGCTATATATCTATTCTTTTTTTTAATTTTTTTTAAATATTGAGACAGGATTGCTAAGTTGCTTAGTGCCTCCCTAAGTTGCTGAAGCTGGCTTTGAACTTGTGATTCTCCTGCCTTAGCCTCCTGAGCTGCTGGGATTACAGGTGTATGCCACACTGCCTGGCCTCTTTCCATATTTTTATTAGTGTATTACAGATTCATACAATATTTAGATTTGTTGTTATGTATTTGTCCATGCACACAATATAACAATGTAGTTTGACAAATATCATTCCCCTGTATTTCCCCTTTCCCTACCCTCCTTTCTTCTGCTAGTCCTCTTCCTCTTTCTATTGATCTCATTTCAATTTTCATAAGACCCCCCAGTTTTCTTTGCCTTTTTCCTCTCTAGCTTCCAGATCTGAGGGAAAACTTTGACCCTTGACCTTTGAGGTTGGTTTATTTCACTTGACATATTGTTCTCAAGTTCCAGCCAATTTTCTACAAATGACATGATTTTGTTTTTCTTTATGTCTGACTAAAACTCCACCGTGTGTGTGTATGCCACATTTTCTTTATCCATTCATCCACCAATGGACACCTCGGCTGGTTTGCTGTGAATTGTGCTGCTATAAACATGGGAATGCATGTATCACTATATGGTTATGACTTTAGTACTTTAGGATAAATTCTGAGGAGTGTTATATGGTGGATCCTATGGTGTCTCTATTTCTAGATTTTTGGGGAACCTCCATACTGATTTCCATAGTAATTGTCCTAATTTAAAATTCCCACCAATAGTGTAAAAATATTCCTTTTTCTCAACATCCTCCAGAATTTATTATTGTTCATATTGTTGATGACTACCATTCTGATTGGAGTGACATGAAATCTCAGTGTAGTTTTGATCTGGATTACCTTAATTGCTAATGATGTTAAACATATTTGCATATACCTGTTGACCATTTGAATTTCTTCTCTTGAGATGTGTCTATCTAGCTCATTTGTCCATTTATTAATTGGGTTGGTTTTTGGTGTGAAATTTTTTGAGTTCTTTATATTTTCTGGATATTAATCCTCTACCAGAAGAGTAACTAGCAAAGATTTCTCTGCTGTGAGGCTTTTTAATTTGATGCCATTCCATTTATTAATTCTTAGCATTATTTCCTGAGTTCTAGGGATCCTATTAAGAAACTTATTGCCTGTGCCTATATGTTGAAGTGTGGACCCTACATTTTTTTCTAAGATTTGCAGTTTCTGGTCTAATTCCAAGGCCTTTGATCTATTTTGAGTTAACTTTTGTGCAGGGTGACAGATAAGGACCTAATCTCATTGTTCTATTTATAGATAGCCAGTTTTCTCAGTACTATTTAGTGAAAAGGCTGTTTTTTTTTCTCTAATTCATGTTTTTGGCATCTTTATCAAGGATCAAATGACTATATCTATGTGGGCCTCTGGGTCTTCTATTCTGTACCATTGATCTATGTGTCTGTTTTTATGCCAGTATCATGCAGTTTTTGTTACTAAAGTTCCATAGTATAATTTGAAGTCAGGGATTATGATGCCTCCAGTATTGATTTTTTGGCTTAAAATTGCTTTGATTATTCTGGGTGTTATATTCTTCCAAATGAATTTTAACACTGATTTTTCTAATTCTGTGGAGAATGTCATTAGTATTTTGATGAGAATTACACTGAACCTGTATTCCCACCCTTGTCCAGCACAGGCAGCTAAACTAGAGGTCACTCTAGTGAATTCCCTAAGGCATCAAATAAAACACAGATGCACAATTTACCTTAATTTCAAGCCCCAGGACGGCTCCTCTGCCCTTGACCTCAAACTCCCCAAATGGGAGAGGGAGGAATATCACGGGAGGCTGGAGAGAGAGAGAGAGAGAGAGAGAGAGAGAGAGAGAGAGAACACACATTTCAGAGTGGACTTTTATTGGGAGGACTCTAGATTCTTTAGAAATTTCCATCCAGTAAAGGTCAAGAGGGGCCGAGTTACAAGGACAGGTAAGGTAACTCCATCCCTGGGGATGTAGGAAGGCACACCCACACATGAAGACACATTTGGCTGCATTCTTTTTACCACCCTCAAGATGGGGACCACAGTCTTCCGCAACTTAAAAGAAAGCAGATCATCAGAGATGACCGACAGTGCCTCAACTGATCAGGAGGGGAAAATGCTGGTCACATGACATGACGGCCTCCCACACTGTATAATGCTTTTGGCAATATGACCACTTTAACAATATTAATTCTGCCTATCCATGAACATGGGAGTTTATTTTTTTTCATTTTCTTATATCTTCTTTAATTTCTTTCCTCAATAATCTCTAGTTTTCTTTGTAGAGGTCTTTTACTTCCTTGGTTAGATTTATTCCTAGTTATTTTTGTAGGTTATTATGAATGGGACTTTTTATGGTTTAGATAAAAGCTCATGTGTGAGACAATGTAAAAAGGTAGAGGTAAAATGATTGGGTAATGAGAGCCTTAACCCTATCAGTGAGTTAATCACGTGATAGGATTTAACTGAGTGTTAGCTGAAGGCAGGAAGGGTATGGCTGGAATAGGTGGGTTACTGGGAATGTGTCTTTGGAGTATATATTTTGTGAGCTGAGTTTAAGTCTTACTCTAGTTCCTGAGTGCCACGTTCCCAGCTGCTTTCCTCCACGACACACTTCTGCCATGATATTCTGCCTCACCTCATCCCCAAGGAATGGAGCCAACTATATATGGATAGTGACCTCTGAAACTGTGAGTCCCCAAATAAATTTTTCCTCCTCTAAATTTATTTTTTTTGGGTCACTGAAGCAAAAGAAGCTGAATAAAACAGTATTGTTTTTATGATATCTTATTGGTATATAGGAAAGCTATCAACTTTTGTATGTGGTTTTATAAATGGTTACTTGGCTGAATTTATTAGCTCTAGCAATCTTTTCATCTTCTATTTTATGTTGATTTAATAAGCCCTGCAATTTTAGCATTTTGTTTTGATCTATGAACCTCTCTGCCCTGTGGCTTCTGTGATAGCTTGCCTGGTTGTGTACTTGCAGACTATCTTTTCTTAAGATAATTTTTCATATGATAAAACTGATTCTAAATTGGCTCAACTCTAATCAAGAAGAGGGATGCTATTTATTAGATATTTATATCTTAATATCCATTAGTAGGTGAATGGATATAGTGTGATTTATCTCTATCCTGAGGTTTATAGTTATTAAAATAACCTAATATTATTTAATGTAACAATGGGGATAAATATGAAAGATTTAATATTCAATGTAATAATAATTATAATGAATACATACAATAAGATATATGATTGTCACTCAGGATACAGTCAACCTTCCTTCTTCTAATAGGAAATCTGCTCCTCACCCATGATCCAGGAGATTATATGGCCAGGAGAGTAGACATTTTCCAGTCTCCCTTCAAGCTAGATACAGCTGTGAATTAAATTCTACTTAATATGATAATATGATGCAACCAGAATTATATGTGCTACTTTAGTGTTGCATCTTTAAATGTAAAAGAGTGCTACATACCCACTCCTGCCTCTCTTTTCTCTTCCCAATGACTAGAATGCAAGAATAGCAGCTTCAACAATAAACTCCCCTGAGATGATGATACAACAGCAGGAGAAGGAACCAAGATCGAGGATAACTTTTGAGTGGAGATATCTTTCCTGAATTGCTAACCTATCCCCTGACTCATCTCTTTTTTTTTTTTTAGCATTTTTTTATTGGTTGTTCAAAACATTACAAAGCTCTTGACATATCATATTTCATACATTAGATTCAAGTGGGTTATGAACTCCCATTTTTACCCCAAATACAGATTGCAGAATCACATGGGTTACACATCCACGTTTTTACATATTGCCATATTAGTGACTGTTGTATTCTGCTACCTTTCCTATCCTCTACTATCCCCCCTCCCCTCCCCTCCCATCTTCTCTCTCTACTCCATCTACTGTAATTCATTTCTCTCCTTGTTTTTTTCCCACTCCCTTCACAACCTCTTATATGTAATTTTGTGTAACAATGAGGGTCTCCTTCCATTTCCATGTAATTTCCCTTTTCTCTCCCTTTCCCTCCCACCTCTTAAATGTATAATTGTAAGCATGGATTTTATGTATACATTCAGAAACAAGATTTTCTGCTTCCTTTCTAAAAGTTGGCCCAAAGATAAACCAAGCCCTTGGGCCCCATGAGAGCTCAGAGATCTTGTCCAAAAACTGAGGTAGTGGGCAAGGTCACAGGTTCCATGCCTGTCTTCCTTCCCACTCGTATGTTCTTGTTCTAAAGGATTATTGACCCCTAACAGACCCTTGCCTGGAATCATTGCTCCCTGTCCCTTACTCTGCCTATTGTTATTCTTTTTTCCAACATAGAGGAGAAGTTCTCTCTCTCTTTTTTTTATTGGTTGTTCAAAACATTACAAAGCTCATGACATATCATCTTTCATATATTTGACTCAAGTGGGTTATGAACTCCCATTTTTACCCCAAATACAAATTGCAGAATCACATCGGTTACACATTCACATTTTTCCATAATGGCATATTAGTGACTGTTGTATTCTGCTACCTTTCCTATCCCCTACTATCCCCCCTCCCCTCCCCTCCCATCTTCCCTCTCTACCTCATCTGCTGTTGTTCAATTCTCTCCCTTGTTCCCCCCCCCTTCCCCTCACAACCTCTTATATGTAATTTTGTGTAACATTGAGGGTCTCCTACCATTTCCATATGATTTCCCTTCTCTCTCCCTTTCTCTCCCCCCACTCGTCTCTGTTTAATGTTAATCTTTTCCTCATGCTCTTCCTCCCTGTTCTGTTCTTAGTTGCTCTCTTTATATCAAGGAAGACATTTGGCATTTGTTTTTTAAGGATTGGCTAGCTTCGCTTAGCATAATCTGCTCTAATGCCATCCATTTCCCTGAAAATCCCATGATTTTGTCATTTTTATTGCTGCGTAATACTCCATTGTGTATAAATGCCACATTTTTTTTATCCATTCATCTATTGAAGGGCATCTAGGTTGGTTCCACAGTCTTGCTACTGTGAATTGTGCTGCTATGATCATTGATGTGGCAGTATCCCTATAGTACGCTCTTTTAAGATCCTCAGGAAATAGTCTGAGAAGGGCAATAGCTGGGTCAAATGGTGGATCCATTCCCAGCTTTCCCAGGAATCTCCATACTGCTTTCCAAATTGGCCTCACCAATTTGCAGTCCCACCAGCCATGTACAAGTGTACCCTTTTCCCCACATCCTCACCAGCACTTATTGTCGTTTGACTTCATAATGGCTGCCAATCTTACTGGAGTAAGATGGTATCTTAGGGTGACCTTGATTTGCATTTCTCTGACTGCTAGAGATGGTGAGCATTTTTTCATGTACTTGTTGATTGATTGTATGTTCTCCTCTAAGAAGTTTCTGTTCAGGTCCTTGGCCCATTTGTTGATTGGGTTATTTGTTATCTTATTGTTTAATTTTTTGAGTTCTTTGTATATTCTGGATATTAGGGCTCTATCTGAAGTGTGAGGGGTAAAAATTTGTTCCCGGGATGTAGGCTCTCTATTTACCTCTCTTATTGTTTCTCTTGCTGAGAAAAAACTTTTTAGTTTAAGTAAGTCCCATTTGTTTATTCTTGTTATTAACTCTTGGGCTATGGGCGTCCTATTGAGGAATTTGGAGCCCAGCCCCACAGTATGTAGATCGTAGCCAACTTTTTCTTCTATCAGACGCAGTGTCTCTGATTTGATATCTAGCTCCTTGATCCATTTTGAGTTAACTTTTGTGCATGGCGAGAGAAAGGGATTCAGTTTCATTTTGTTGCATATGGATTTACAGTTTTCCCAGCACCATTTGTTGAAGATGCTATCCTTCCTCCATTGCATGCTTTTAGACCCTTTATCAAATATAAGAAAGTTGTAATTTTGTGGATTGGTCTCTGTGTCCTCTATTCTGTACCATTGGTCCACCTGCCTGTTTTGGTACCAGTACCATGCTGTTTTTGTTACTATTGCTCTGTAGTACAGTTTGAAATCTGGTATCGCTATACCTCCAGATTCACACTTCCTGCTAAGAATTGCTTTTGCTATTCTGGGTCTTTTATTTTTCCATATGAATTTCATGATTGCTTTATCTATTTCTACAAGAAATGCCGTTGGGATTTTGATTGGCATCGCATTAAACCTGTAAAGAACTTTGGGTAATATCGCCATTTTGATGATGTTAGTTCTGCCTATCCATGAACAGGGTACATTTTTCCATCTTCTAAGATCTTCTTCTATCTCTCTCTTTATGGTTCTGTAGTTTTCATTGTATAAATCTTTCACCTCTTTTGTTAGGTTGATTCCCAAGTATCTTATTTTCTTTGAGGATATTGTGAATGGAGTGGTTTTCCTCATTTCCATTTCAGAAGTTTTGTTGCTGATATACATGAATGCCCTTGATTTATGCATGTTGATTTTATATCCTGCCACTTTGCTGAATTCATTTATTAACTGTAGCAGTTTCTTTGTAGACCCTTTTGGGTCTGTTAAATATATTATCATGTCATCTGCAAATAGTGATAATTTAAGTTCTTCTTTTCCTATTTTTATGCCTTTAATTTCTTTTGTCTGTCTAATTGCTCTGGCTAGTATTTCAAGAACTAAATTGAATAGAAGTGGTGAGAGAGGGCATCCCTTTCTTGTTCCAGATTTTAGAGGGAATGCCTTCAGTTTTTCTCCATTTAGGATGATGCTAGCCTGAGGCTTAGCATAGATTGCTTTTACAATGTTGAGGTAAGTTCCTGTTATCCCTAGTTTTTCTAGTGTTTTGAACATAAAGGGATGCTGTACTTTGTCGAATGCTTTTTTTGCATCTATCGAGATGATCATATGGTTCTTATCTTTAAGTCTATTGATGTGGTGAATAGCATTTATTGATTTCCGTATATTGAATCAGCCTTGCATCCCAGGGATGAATCCTACTTGATCATGGTGCACAATTTTTTTGATATGCTTTTGTATTCGATTCACCAGGATTTTATTGAGAATTTTTGCATCCAAGTTCATTAGAGATATTGGTCTGTAGTTTTCTTTCTTTGAAGTGTCTTTGTCTGGTTTCGGGATCAGGGTGATGTTGGCCTCATAGAATGAATTTGGAAGAGCTCCTTCTTTTTCTATTTCTTGAAATAGCTTGAAAAGTATTGGTATTAATTCTTCTTTGAAGGTTTTGTAAAACTCCGCTGTATACCCATCCGGTCCAGGGCTTTTCTTGGTTGGTAGTCTTTTGATGGCTTCTTCTATTTCTTCCTTTGTTATTGGTCTGTTTAAATTGTGTGTGTCTTCCTGACTCAATCTGGGCAGATCGTATGACTTAAGAAATTTATCGATATCTTCACTATCTTCTATTTTATTGGAATATAGGGTTTCAAAATACTTTCTAATTATCTTCTGTATTTCTGTAGTGTCTGTTGTGATATTGCCTTTTTCATCCCGTATGTTAATAATTTGAGTTCTCTCTCTTCTTCTTTTCGTTAGCATGGCTAAGGGCCTGTCGATCTTATTTATTTTTTCAAAGAACCAACTTTTAGTTTTATCAATTTTTTCAATGTTTTTTTTTGTTTCAATTTCATTGATTTCTGCTCTGATTTTAATTATTTCTTGTCTTCTACTACATTTGCTGTTATTTTGCTCTTCCTTTTCTAGGGTTTTGAGGTGTAGTGTGAGTTCATTTATTTGTTGGTTTTTTCTTTTTTTGAGG